AAAAAAAGAATAATAAAAATGATGGAAAAGTGCGTGACCATACCGACCGAGCGAATAGCAAGCGATCATTATCTAGACGCCATAAAGGATCACGGTGTAATGGCTCCGCTCCGAAACGATTTATTGCGTGTAATTGCGAGGAGGTGGCACTTTAAGGCGGCTTTACAACGTCCAGTGTCCCGGTGACGGGGGATTCGTTTCCCCTTGAAACGTCAAACGACGTCGAGCGACAATAAAGCTAATAAACACTTCATCATAGAAGGGAGCCAAGTAGCCTATTCGCGACGCGAACCAGTCCTTCGTCTTTTCAAATCCGTCTTATTATTCTGGACAGCGGCAAAACGGATGCGATCCTCAGAGCTGGGAAATAAACAAAAATTAATATCGTTGCAGTCTATTTGAATAAGAGATAAGTTGATCTCGTATCAAATTATAAAAAAAAAAAAAGAAATGTAAATCTATATACCAAGATAATTTTAACTTTTAACCTTCGTCCTATTCTCGTCTAGCACCTTTTTTTATCATTTCTCTAAAAATCCTTCCTTTTGTTAAAAAATTATCCTTCGTCTATATTCTTTTTTCACCATTTTCCCGAAAATCACTAGAAAATTACCAAAGCGTCGCGACATTATCGATCGAGATCGAAACCTCGCAAATCGTCGATTACTCCACTGCGTTTATTCACGAACCATTATTATTATTATTCGAGGAGAAGTTTTACGCGCTCGAGAAACGGACGGAGCGGTCTGACGACACTTTCCAACTCGAAGAACCAGACCGTCCTCGCGTCCTCCCTGCAAACTAGCGAATTATTCAAACGAGGCTCGGCTGGAACGCGAGGCTTCGCTCCTTTTCTCGCGACCTTTCTCGCCCCCTTTCTTTTTCCCACTCGGATTTTCAGCTTCGAAAAAACTAGCACGCGCGAATATGACCCGAACGACCTTCTCGATCGCATCACTTCCTGTTCGTAAACGCTTCGTCCGTTGCCTCTTTTTTTTTTTTCTTTTTTTTGCAATGAAAGAGAGAGAGAGTACGCGATGCGACCAGCATGCAAAATTGAAGTTCGGCTTCGTGGAACGGGTGTCAGCGTTCCGAGAAACTGTCGCCTCGCTGTCGATTCGAAAGTGAAACGTTCGACTAGGCGTGTTCGACCGGATTAATCGCTCGACCCTCCATCGCGATTGTTTCCCGGAATACGAATTGTGATAAAAAATATATCGTTTTGAATACTTTGCATTAGTTTTAATACGATCTTCGAATCGACCGATTTTTTGTTTGGAGAAGAAGAAAATTAGATAGATTCCTCTTTTTAGAGTACAAGGATATAATGGTATGGAGAAATGTGGGCACACGATCGTGCAGTGAAAGCGATATTGGTCGGTTGAATAAATTCAGAAAATATCGTTACGATTTCTGGCTCTGAAACTTTCTTAATTGAAAGTCCAAATGGTAATGGTAATCATTAGACATAAAATTAAACTGCCTGAGAACATCTGTCACAGGAGAAAACTATCCACCGTAGGAAATTATTCGCCATTTCCTATTTATTCCCTACTATAGAAACAAAAAATTAAAAAGAAGGAACAATTTATCATTAATATCAATTAATATGTACATCATAAAAGCGAAAATTTATATCACCAATAACCATACTTTTCACATATTATTCTCACATATTTTT